CTCAGCTCTTTACCTCAAGGCTAGCACTCTACCACTTGAGCCACAGCGCCACTTCCGGCTTTTTTCTTTTTGCTTATGTGGTGCTGAGGAATTGAACTCAGGGCCTCAGGCATGCAAGGCAAGCACTCTACCACTGAGCCACCTTCCCAGCCCCCTGGTGGTTATTTTTGAGATAGGATCTTGCCAACTTTTCTGGTTGGGGCTGGCCTTGACCTGCCATCCTCAGGCTCTTAGCTTCCCGATTATAGGCATGAACCATCAGCACTTGGCTCCTAAAAAGTATATGTTCTTCTACTAAGGAAAAACTAGTGACATATTATTTTAATGGATAAGTAAAATTACATTGTGTACATGTACCTCCCCAATACATGAAATCACTAAGATGACATGTCTCAATAAATTGATCATTTTGGGACCAATACACCAAGACTTCATTAACAATCATTCAATCAACTTTTACTAAATGCTCCTGTGCAAAGGTTTGATCTTTGCTAGCTAGGTGGGAAGTAATGCAAAGACTAAGTAAAAGACTGTATAGCATAATAATAATTGAAAAGAAATATCTGAATGATGTTAGAAAGAGTAGACTACTTTTAACCACACCTCCATTTCCAGATCTTTTGTGGGCTAACTGGAGATAAGAATCTTGTGGATTTGTCTGCTTGGGCTAGCTTTGAACCTCAATCATCTTTGAGCCTCCTGAGGAGCTATGACTGTAGGTATGAATTACCAGTGTCTGGCTTAAGTGAATCATTTTTCTCCTTATAATTTCATTTTTATAGTTCATTTAAAAATTAATATGACTATAGTTGCTTACTCTTCCTCCCACTATTCCTGTACCCCCATATTTCCACTTCCTGGTATTTGTTTTAATAAACAGTATTTTAGTTGTTCAGGTTACACCCTTGGATTCCTCTCCAAAGTATACTCCTCCTGCAGTCTGTGTGTAAATGCAGAGAACCCTGTATATGTTATCAGGCATAGTTGTATTTTAGGTCTAGCTTCCACATGAGAGAAAATGTGCACTTGTTTCCCTGAGTTTGGCTTACTTTACTCAACCTCATGTGTTTGTTCTAGGTCCATCCTTCCCTGAAAATGATGTATTATTCTTCTTTATAATGGATAAGTAAAATTCCATTATGTATCTATACATTTTCTTGATCTACTACTCATCTATTGTAGGGCATCTGTGAGTATCCTGACTTGTAATGCTCAGGAGTGGTATTGCTGAAGCATAGGGTAGTTCTATGTTGTTTTTTTGAGGATCTCCAAACTATCTTTCAGAGTGGTTGTACTAGTTTTGCATTCCTACCAACAGTGTAATAGGGTTCCTTTTTTCTCACTTCTCTTGGTACTGGGGATTGAACCCAGAGCTTCATATGTGTGAGGTAAACGCTCTGCCCCTGAGCTATATGCCCAGTAACCTAAGTAAATTCAGACTGTTCAAAAGGTCAAGATCAGGGTTGGAGACATAGCTCAAGTGGAAGAGCACTTGCCTAACATGTGGTAAGGCCCAAGGCTCCTCAAGGCCCAGTACCACAAAAACAAAACAAAGCAAAACTCTTATGTGTCTACTGAAGATATAAGGTGTATTTGACTTAAATGACTTCATCACTGAACATAACTCATTAATAAACAGATTAAGAAAACCTAAATCCTTACCTAAATTGGCATACATTACAAACAAGTTGAAATACTGCTGTAAATGACGTCCATGCTCTGAAACTTCTCTCCTCAAGAGATTTAGTACTGCTCTTAATAAATGATCACTCAAGCTTAAATTGTCATAAGCCTGTAAAGGATAAAACAGCTGTTTCTCAGCAACAAGGTGAACGAACAATTCAATTAATAAAAAAAGGACAGATAATATATACATACTGAACATCATACATTTTGGGAAGGACTGATCACACAAACTATTAAAAAGGGTGGATTGCTTCTTGGGAAAGGGAATAAACATATGTAGGCTTGCTATGTGGCCTATGTTGGCCTCCAATTGGCAATCTTTCAGTCTTAGCCTCCTGTGTACCACCACTCCTGACTTTAGATTTCATTAAAAACCCTTTAGATTGCTGTAATTAAAACAAAATGTCCATAAACCTCCTTAAGACAAAAAGATGTACTTAACAGAAAATTTATAATTAAGTTACTACATGTAACTGAATAGAAAAAATACCCTTATTATTTTTGGCCTGATACTGAGACTTAACTCAGTATCTGATGCTGTTGCTCATCGTCTGGTGCTCTACCATCTGAGCTATACCTCCAACCCCAGCCCTTAAGTTTGTTTGTTTATTTATTTAATTTTTGGTTGGTTGTGGGGTTTGAACTCTGGGCCTGGGTGCTGTCGCTGAGCTCTTCAGCTCAAGTGAACACTCTATTACTTGAGCCACAGCGCCACTTACAGTTTTCTGGTGGTTAATTGGAGCTAAGAGTCTCATGGACTTTCCTGCCTAAGCTGGCTTTGCACCACAATCCTTAGATCTCAGCCTCCTGAGTAGCTAGGATTATAGGTGTAAGCCACTGGCGCCCCCGCCCCTTATGTTTTTAAAGAACCAATAATCACTATTCATGTCTATGAATATAATTATATTTATACCTTAATTTTTTTCTTTTTGGCAGTACTGGGATTTGAAATCATGGCCTCACATTAGCTAGGGCTTGGTACAATACTGCTGAGTCATACCTTGAACCCTCTATGCAGCAGTTTTAATGGAATTAAGAGACATTAGATTTGGGGCATATATTTTAGGCAAATATATCAAAGAGGATATACACAAGTTTGTGACTTCAAATTCCAGAAGATTTTTGATAAGCATTGTTAGAAAGCTGTGTGATTACCTGACTAGAAGGTCCAGGAGATGCAAAAGGTGAAGGACACGGTCCATCTTGCAAGGAAAAATGTGCAATAAAAACTATAAGTTTTGCAAATGCACCCCTCACTTCTGCACTCGGGCATTCCAAAAGATATTCAGAGAAGCGGTTTGAAACATTAAAAAGGACATTATGAGCAAACCAAAAACGTACGTTCTTGCTGTGACGAAGGAGAATACATAATGCATCATACCTGAAACAAATAAATAAAACTATGACTATAAAAATTCAATGACTCTTTTCTTACAGTGAGAATTATGTGAACCAAAAATCGAAGGCCTTCTTTCATTGTTGGCAGGAAAAGTAACAGCTGCTTTTAATGTTAACATTAAAATGATAGATGAAAATTATGACTTGGTCAATTCTGACATAAAATAGATGAAAAGACAGATGAATAAACGTTGTCTATTCTGCCTTATAAAATAGATGAAAGCTGTGTCAAGTCTCTAAACTCTTCTTGGGTCCAATGACAAATAACACTGTCTCCTTCCCTTAACATCAAGTTACTTCTGAATAAAGAAAACTTGTTAAATCAATGCTTCCATATTTTTCTAATTAGAAGCTCAAGAAGACCATTTTCATTTTTTACTCCTTGGATCTGTGGCAGAAATTATCTTAGGGAAGCCAAAACCTAATAATTTCATAATTAAATAACTAAGACTTTTGTTGGTTGTGGGGTTTGAATTCAGGGCCTGGGTGCTGTCTCTGAGCTCTTTTGCTCAAGGCTAGTGCTCCACCACTTTGAGCCACAACTCTACTTCTTGTTTTTTGAGTAGTTAATTGGAGAGAGTTAATTGGAGAGTTAATTAGAGAGTCTCACAGGGACTTTTCTACCTGGAATGGCTTCCAACTGTGATCCTCAAATCTCAGTCTCCTGAGTACCCAGGATTACAGGTGTGAGCCACTGGTGCCCAGCTAGATGAGACCTTTAAATCTCAACTCTTAAATATCAATTGTTAACAGAAGCAAAAGCCAGTTTCTGAATTACAAAAGGCCATGTTTAGACCAAGTATTTTATTTTCAAACTTTGCTTGGTTTAAGTACACCAGGCATTTTATTTTTCCAAGGGGGAGTGTGAATATAGTCCCCCACTACCACAAATTATGTAGTCAAGTTTCTCACATTTGGGGAAATTGCAAGGGTCAGAACATCTAGAGTGCAATGATGCTCCTGCCCCGGGAAAACCACCTTCATGATGATGGTATCTCCTCTGCCATGTTAAGTATAGACTGAATATTTTAATATGACTTTTTTTTTTGGTTGGTGGTGGGGCTTGAACTCTGGGCCTGGGCACTGTCTCTCAGCTCTTCAGCTCAAGGCAAGCACTCTACCACTTGAGCCACAGTGCCACTTCTGGTTTTCTGGTGGTTTATTGGAGATAAGAGTCTTAAGATCTCAGCCTCCTGAGTAGCTAGGATTATAGGCATGAGCCACCAGTGACCAGCTTTTACTATTGCTATCAAGGATTTATTTTGCATTTCAAATCTGAAACAAGATTATGTTTTGGAAAAAGTAAAGCAGTCTATTGAAGAACCATACCAAATACGAGTATAACAAGAAAGAAAAGTGAAAGTAACATACCAGTCACTGGCAGAGCCACGGACTATTTTCTTCGTGTGAAATCCTGTAGTAAAAAGGAACCTAGCAGCAAGTTGAATACTAATCATAGTGATTTCTTCTGCTTCAGGCAACAGGTGATCTTGCCCTATAAATAAAATGCAGAATAAGAAAAATCAAATATCAAGTCAAAATTTCAAACAAGTACTTGAGAAGTTCAAAATGTAAAAAAAAAAAAAAAAAAAACCCAAATCACAACCCTTTCCCCAGACAACTTATCAAATAATCTTTACTTCTAATTTTAGCAGCTACCTACATGTTTGAAGCTAATGTATGAGCCAAAACCAAATTGTTATGACAAAAGCTCCATTTCTAAACAGTATGTCAATATATATTGCTCAAAGGTAAAAATGATATTAAATGTGAAAAGGTTAATTATGAATTTAAAACATGTTGATGCTACTAAGAAATCCTACAAGTAATAATTACTCATATTACTAAGAAGCTAACTTTATTTTTTTATTTTGCCAGTCCTGAGGCTTGAACTCAAGGCCTGGGCTCTGTCCCTGAACTGCTTTTGCTCAAAGTTAGTACTCTATCACTTGAGCCATAGCACCACTTCTGACTTTCTGTGTATGGTGCTGAGGAATCAAATCCAAGGCTTCATGCATGCTAGGCAAGCACTCTACCACTAAGACACATTCCCATCTCTTAAGAATCTAACTTTATACCGGGGATTGAATTTTAGGGTCTCATATATGTTAGGCAAGTGCTTTAACTCTTGAGCCACACCCGCAGCAAGAAACTAAAGACACTCACCTGGAGGTGGGTTTAAGTAAACACCATTACACGTGAGCAGTTTTTTCATGAACTGAAAATACTCCAAACTGTATTGCATTCGGTTATGCATGAATTGTACATTCTGTTTCCGTACACTTCTCTCAATGGCTGATGGCATAACAATCTGATGGGGTCTTGTGGTGATAGCAAGCTCTGATATGTATTTTATCAACTCATCATCCTGGTCTATTGTATCCATCCGTTCATAAAAAAGTATATAAGCATTCCACCACCTTTTCTGGCGTCTATATGACATGCGCTTCATCATGTGATCAAATACTTCTCCCATGTACTCTCCACCAAAGCACTGGTTTTTCATTTCTTCATCGTCATCCATTTTACACTCTGTTACATCTCCATCATCAAATTTATACCAGCGATTTCTCTCCCCATCTCCACCATTCCTTTGAATGATGTAAGAATAATAATGTCCCCCACTTGCTTGACCACTGTGTACAAGTACACCCACAAGTCTGTATTTTGTGCTCCCTGCTTTCTCATTTTCAGACTGCTCATTCTGTTGTATCAACTGACTTTCTGGGTTTGCATTATCTCTCTCCAGCTTAGCAACACCTGCAACTGTGTAAGGTTCCATGTCCAGCTCACGAGGAAATTCAAAATAATCATTAAACTTGATTGCACATTCTCTTTCCCAGTCGTAGTCAAATCGTTTTAGTTGGATAGCAAGAACAGGAGGCAATTTTTTAATTAGTAAGCGCTTTACAGTATCAACCTAAATAAACAGAGAAAGTTACTGGATATAACCCACTGTAAAAAAGTAAACAAAAATACTAACAAAAAAGAAATCCAATCAAACTTTTAAATATTACCAAATCCTCAGGACTTATTTGGATTCTTAACTGCAAATACAAGCTAATGAACACAAGGCATTCCTGTGGTATTTCATCTAAATGGCCTATGCACCTATTACAAATAGCAAAAATCAGTGACACACACATGTTGTCTGGTTTCTATACTGTCATTATTTGTTTTATGTATACTGCCATTTTTCTTTGTTGCTGGTCTTGGGACTTGAACTCAGGACCTGGGTGCTGTCCCAGAGCTTTTCTGATCAACATTAGTACTCTACCACTTGAGCCACAGCTCTACTTCTGGCTTTTTGGTGGTTAATTGGAGATAAGGCTTTCTTGCCTTCTAACCACAATCATTAGATCTCTAGGATTATAGCACCCAACCTGTCATCTTAATGCAGGTGTTTTTCTTGTTGTTGTTGTCATTCGTGGGGCTGGAACTCTGGGCCTGGGTGCTGTCCCTCAGCTCTTCAGCTGTAGACTAGCAATCTACCACTTGAACCTCAGCCCCACTTCTGGCTTTTTCTGCTTATGTGGTGCTGAGGAATCAAACTGAGGGCCTCATGCATGCAAGACAAGCACTCTACCACTGAGCCACCTTCCCAGAATCTAATGAAGGTGTTTTTAGGTTAATAACAGTAGTAGTTATTATTCATTGGGCAATTAGATACCAGAGAATATGCTAAGAAAGTGCTTCACATTCTATTCTCACAACCCTTTCAAGCAATGTATGAGCTATGAACACACGGTTGTTTCTTGGCAGAAATAGAAAATATCTATGTGAACTCTGAGAGTATAGTATAGTATTAGTTTTGATACTATGCTATGGTATAGTATCAAATGACTACCATGTCTATAATTATCCACTCTTTTTTATTCTTGTGCTGGTCCCTAAGCTTTTTTGTTCAAGACTAGCACTCTACCACTAGAGTTACAGTTCCACTTCTGGCTCTTTGGTAGCTAATCAGAGTTAAGTCTTATAAACTTTCCTGCCCAGGCTTGGCTTTAAACCTTGATATTCAGATCTCAGCCTCTTGAGTAGCTAGGATTATAGATATGAGCCACTAGTGCCTGGCTAATATCTACTCATATTTACCTGATTTCCCTAGCCTATTTGGCACTACATTTTAATTTTCTTTCCTCAATAAGCCAGTTATGTTAGCTATCTCTTTATTATCACTATGAATAGAATAAAAAGGTGAATTTTTAGTATGAACAAAAACATTCTTTAAAATTCATTATATAAAATTCATCAAAACCAATCGAAACAAGACTAGAAAATTCTTACCTTTTTATTGCATTTTTCACAATGATATGCATTTGCCCCTTCTAATAAGTCTCCTTTGACATACTGTTCCAAAGAGTCAAGAAGATTTTGGTGATTCCTAATGTCTACATTCAGAGTCGTGAAAGATTCTTCACATTCGTACCTAAAGATATTATTTAAGGAAGGACAAAGAAAGGACTTTATTCCTTAGTTTTCTAGACATTTTCGTTAGCTACAGAGTTAATAAACCCTTAATTCAGAATGTCACCACTAGTGACAGTTAATATTTACTATTTATCCTGTGTCACCATATTAGGTGGCTTACACATTTTATAAACTGAGTTCTTTGAATTCATGACAAATGTGCTAGAGAATTGTTACTATCCCCACTTCAGGGAAATAGGGGCTCAAAAAGGTTAACTTGAAGATTATACTATACCATGCTGCTTTATGTATGGTTGTTGGCAACCAGCCATTATACACAAGCAAAATCCAATAAAAATGACAGGTAATAGGCTTGATATGAACCATGTTCTACATTTTGTTCACCTCTGTTCTACAGAAATAAAGCCCCTAGGGTTCTTTATGGTATGTAACAAGAACTCTGAGATTGTATTCCCATGGAATTGTGGCTCAAATGGTAGAGGGCCAGTCTTAGAGAAGAAGCCAACTGAGTGTGCCAACTCTTAAATCCAAGACCCAGTACTGGCAGGCATGCATGCACTCACACATGCATACATCTTAAAAAAATCATGTTCCTGGGCTGGGAAGTTGGCTCAGTGGTAGAGTGCTTGCCTCACATGCATGACGTGGTGCTGTGGCTCACGTGGTAGGGCGCTAGGCCTTGAGCTGAAGAGCTGAAAGACAGCACCCAGGCCCAGAGTTCAGCCCCCACAACCAACAACAACAAAAAATCATGTTCCTTCAGTATTTTCACTTGACAAAAATGCTTTTAAAATAATATAGTTTGGTTTGTACAAAAACCACTTCACTATGATTTGGTGAAATGAGATCACAAAACACTGACAACATATTGAGGTTAAGTCCCAAAGTGAAACTTTGACATGAAAGGCATAAATGTGTGCTTATTAGCAATTTATTTCACTTCCATTTCTGGTTTTCTAGTGGTTAACTGAAGACTTTCCTGCTTGGGTGGCTTTTTTTGGGTCGGTGGTGGGACTTGAACTCTGGGCCTGGGCGCTGTCCCTGAGCTCTTCAGGTCAAGGCTAGTGCTGTACCACTTGAGCCACAGCACCAGCTTTCTCTCTTTATGTGGTAATGAGGAATTGAACCCAGGGCTTCATGCATGCTAGGCAAACACTCTACCACTAAGCTACATTCCCAAACCTTATTATTATTATTATGATTGCTTGTCTGTCCCTGAGCTTTTTTGCTCTAGAACTTGTACCACTCAAGTGCCAACCTCTACTAACAGCTTTTTGGTGGTAAATTGGGGATAAAAGTCTCATGACAAATGGACACTTTTTTTTTTTTGGTCGATGGGCTTGAACTCTGGGCCTGGGTGCTGTCCCTAAGCTCTTCAGCTCAAGGCAAGTGCTCTACCACTTGACCCACAGTGCCACTTCCTGTTTTCTGGTGGTTAATTGGACTTTCCTGCTTGGGCTGTCTTTGAACCACAATCCTCAGATCTCAGCCTCCTGAGTAGCTAGGATTATAGGCCTGAGCCAAAATTCTTAAAGGGCACATTTATAATTAATACCTTTAATGACAAGGAAAAGCCAGATTTCAGCCTTCTGAATAGCTAGGATTATAGGCGTGAACCACTGGCTGAAAAATGCCTTTTTGTTGTTGCTGTTGTGGTACTCAGGCTTGAACTTAGGGCTTGGGTGCTGTCCTTTAGCATTTTCACTTAAAGCTAATGCTCTACCACTTGAGCCACAGCTGCACTTCTGGCTTTTTACTGGTTAGAGATAAAAGTCTCATGAACTTTCCTGGCCTGGGCATGGCTTCGAACCATGATCCTCAGCCTTCTGATTAAAAAAATGCCATCTTATTTCCCCAAGAATAACTATACCTAAAGGAATCTAAGAGTAAGAGATAAGAAATTAATGGGCTGGGAAGGTGGCTCAGTGGTAAAGCGCTTGCCTTGCATGCATGAGGCCCTGGGTTCAATTCCTCAGCACCACATAAGCAAAAAGAAAAAAAGCCAGAAGTGGCGCTGTGGCTCAAGTGGTAGAGTGCTAGCCTTGAGCTGAAGAGCTGGGGGACAGTGCCCAGGCCCAGAGTTCAGGACCCATGACTGGACCCCATCCCCCCAAAAAAAGAGATAAGAAATTAAGCAGAGTAAAAATATTTAGCAAAACCAAAGGATACCCAATAGTAGTAGATACACATAATGTATTATTCAGTTTTAGGTATTTTTTCCCCTCATCTGATAGAAAGAAAACTCCAGGTCTTAATCGAACTCACTGATGTTTGACAGACACCCTACTGGCACCTGAGCCATGTTGCCAATCCCTAGGTATTTCATAAACATTGGCACACTCCACTTTTGTACAAAAGCACTAGTAATAATTTTATAATTTGTTAGCATATAAACAGTAATATATACACTTTTGATACGTAATTAGCACTTACCTATGTGGGCAGCCTTGGCAAATCTTCTGATCAGCAAATGAACCTCCTAAGACTTTACTTAGCATAGCTGGATGTCCTAAGGCTTTTAAAGCTTCATCTAAACTATCCACCAATGAATTAAAAAATTCTAAAGCATCATGTTGTTCACGAAGATTAACAGGTTCACCCCAAAGCCTAAGAAATGAATGGAACAAAACATGTAACACACAACACTCACCAAAATATATGTATTATATATATTTTTTGGGTAGGAGAGAATGACAATATATAAAAACAATCACATAAGGAATTATAAATGTGAGGGTTATGCACTTTACATGCAGAGAAGCTCAGAGGAAAAGTGGTACTCCAGTGGCAAGAACTGCCATGAAACTACTGATGGATAGTATTGCTCCAATGGTGGTTGGTTCAGATAACATGACACATGCATTTTTTTTGTAGTCCTGGGGCTTAAACTCAGGGCCTGGGCACTGTCCCTGAGCTTCTTTTGCTCAAGGCTAGTGGTCTACCACTTGAGCAACAGTGCCACTTCTGGCCTTTTCTGTATATGTGGTGCTGAGGAATCGAACCCAGGGCTTCGTGCATGCTAGGCAAGGACTCATCATGAAGTCACTTTCCTAGCCACACATAGTTTGAATCCAGCTGAAGATGCCATTAAAATGAGGTGGAGAATCTCTTATATAAATGTATTTCTTTTATCTTGCTTCAACTTTGGATTATTCAGTAGAAAAGAGTATACATATTTAGTCATTAAATTGATTTTCCTAAGTGATAAAGAAAGGTTTGACTTATTATAGACTTAAATTTGTTAAGTAATCTGAGGACTTAAGTTTGGCAAATCAATACTGAAAAAACAAAACTATTATTTGTATGGACCACAAGCAGTGACGCTAATATGTGGGTGGCTCCTGAAAACTATCAATGATGTCTGACTGTGAAATAACACACAGGGTATGTCAAATCTATTTAATTTACAAGACAGGACAAATGCATGTTGGACATACCAGAAATCTTGGTATTATTTTTTGTTGGTTTGTGCTACTTGAACTCAAGGTCTGAGTGATGTCCCTGAACTCCCCCTCTTCCCCCACCCCAAGATTAGTGCTGTTCTACCACTTTGAGCCACAGCTCCACTTCTGTTCTTTTTAGGTGGTCATAGGAGATGAGTTTCATGTATTTTCTTGTACATGCTGGCTTTGAACCATAATCCTCAGATCTCAGCCTTCTGAGCAGCTAGTATTATAGGTGTGAGCCACCAGTTTAATACTTTTTTTTTTTTGGGTCCAGTCGTGGGGCCTGAACTCTAGGCCTGGGCGCTGTCCCTTAGCTCTTCAGCTCAAGGCTAGCACTCTACCACTTGAGTCACAGTGCCACTTCCAGCTTTTTTCTTTTTGCTTATGTGGTGCTGAAGAATTGAACCCAGGGCCTCATGCATGCAAGGCAAGAGCTCTACCACTGAGCCACCTTCCCAGCCCCAATTGGAGGTGTTTTTAAAGAAGAAAGCCAAAGCACATTTATCCTGATTTGTTTTAGCTAATAAATGAAGGACTGTTCTTGCTAAAGGATTATAAAAGAAATAAAAACCTGGCCCTACCCTTTTCCCCTCCCTCATATTTCTGTTCAAGCATTTCACTCCTTGTTCTTATACATCCTTCCATAATAAACCATCATACTCTTTATCAGAGGCCAAATCATGCTCCCACCCTGCCCAATCTTGGGCTTTGAATCTCTAAAACTTTTCATTGTAAAAACACAAAACTGATTACACAAGATGATAATCGATGGTGGCTACTATCACAAGAAAGGCAAAATAATATGAGACTCTTCACAGAGGTAAGCATGGAGGCATATCACCCATGAAATAGCTTTGCCTAACCACTGAACAAAACCAACACCTCAATCTGATCAAGCCTTTGGATCTCATGAAGCACGGATGAAAACAGGAAACATGGGAAAAACCTATAGGATTAAACTACTTGTTTTTATCCCCAATAAACCACTGAAAAGAAGTAGGAGAAACTTAAGAGACTCATGAGTCATTGTCATTATTAATTATTTGTGACATATGGACCTTATTTTGATCTAGATTTAAAAAATACCAGTGAAAATCATTTGAGTTATTTGGGTTGGTACAATTGATCAATGTATTTAATACTAAGGAAGGTTTTGAAAGACATCACGGTAGTACCATGACTATGCTTGAAACACATTAGAGATACAAACTAGAGTATTTAAAGGTGAAATTATATTGGGAACTTTTTCAAAACAATCTGTAAAATGCATAGGAATATACATTAAATAGGACTGGTTATGAGTTGTCAACTGTTGAAGTTGGTTGATCAATGTACTTTGGCCTTCCTGCTATGAGTTTTTACCTCCTATGGAAACAACAAAAACAAAAATCTAAAAAGGAAAGCTATAATATTACTGTTGCTTAAATCCTGAATATAAAAATGTCTTGAATTGTATTTTAGACATTTTTATTTTACTTTAAATTCTTTTTGGTCATAATGGGATTTGAACTCGGCACTTCATGATTGCTAGGTAGGTACTTTTTTATCACTTGAGCTATGCCCCAGTTTAAAGCATATATCTTTATTATCTATTCACAGTTTACCTGAATTGTTTCCAAAATCCTCTGGGTACATAATATTGTAGTCTAGAAGCAGCTAAATGACCAAAGATGACCTGAAGGTGTCTTAGGACACCAATGTTGTATTCTTTCCTATCTTCTGTTTTACTTAATGCTGGTTTGTCTTCAAATTGTTGAGGATATCCAAATACATCATCCCTGGGATCAACATTACTCTAGAAATAAAAAATATCGTTAATAATCTAAATATGATGAGACAAATTTCAATTAGTGAACCAATGCTCTCTAGTCACTTAACTTTTTTTTTGTGCCAGTCCTGGGGCTTTAACTCAGGGCATGGGTGCTGTCCCTAAGTTGTTTTTTTTTTTTTTTTTTTTGCTCAAGGCTAGTGATATCCCTCAAGCCACATCCACTTCTGACTTTTTGAAGATTTTGGAGATAAAGAGTCTCATGGACTTTCTTGACTGGGCTAGCATTGAACTGTGATTCTAGATCTCAGCCTCTTGAGTAGCTAGAACTGCAGGCACAAGCCTTTAAAGCCCGATTTCCCTTAAAATTTTACTTTTTGTTCATTACGGGGCTTGAACTCAGGGCCTGGTCACTGTCTCTGAGCTTTTTTGCTCAAGGCTACAGAGTGCTGTATCACTTTGAGCCACAGTGCACAGTGCTTAATTGAAGATAAGAATCTCATAGTCTTTCCTGCCCTGGCTGGCTTTCAACTGTGATCCTCAGATTTTGGCCAGCCGAGTAGCTAGGATTACAGGCATGAACAACTGGTACCCAGCCCCACTTAAAACTTTTTTTTTTTGGTTGCCAGTCCTGGGGCTTGAACTCAGGGCCTGGACACTATCCCTGAGCTTCTTTAGTTCAAGGCTAGCACTCTACCACTTGAGCCACAGTGCCACTTCTGGCTTTTCTGTTTATGTGGTACTAAGGAATCAAACCCAGGGCTCCATGAATGCTAGGCAAACACTCTACCACTAAGCCACATTCCCAGCCCCACACTTAAAACTTTGAATCGATAAATTTTAATTTATAATTGGCAAACGTGAAGACTCTACCACTTATGAGCTAAGTAACTTTGGCCAAGTAAGTTAAAATTTTCCAAGCTTCAGTTTCCTTAGATGTAAATAGGGATAATACATTTGTCATATAGTTATTATGAGGGTGAAATAATTCATAAAACGGGCTCAGAACTATAAACATTCAACAAAATACTGATAGTAAGTAGGGAAAACCAGATATATAAGCAAAAGACACCTACCTAACATTATTTTAAACAACTCAAAATACTGTGTTTAAAACCTCTGATATAGAAACAGGTAATAACTAGTCCCTGCCTGAGAAACTTATAACCCAGGCAAGAAAACAAAAACCAGTGAAAATCAAGACATGTCTGCCAACATTACCAATCTTACTTTGCAGTATGGTGCCAATACAACATAGAACACAGATGCAGGAGCAAAAGTGGGACATCTTAGATTGTATCATACTTTGTGTTCCTCATTTGCTTTATTTTTTGTAGTGCTGGAGATGGAAAATAGGGTACCTCATGCATGTTAGGCAGCATTCTACTAGTGAGCTATTCCCAAGCACTTATCTATTTCTTGACAGTATAATTAGCTATTATCTATGTATGGTGTGTGACAAAACTACAATCTGAATTATAAATATTTTTCTTTTGGTGCTGGTTCTGGGGCTTGAAGTCAGAGCCCAAGAGCTGTCCATGAGCTCCTTTTGCTTAAGGTTAGCACTCTTTTTTTTGTGAGTAGTGGGGCTTGAACTTTGGATCTGGACGTTGTCCCTGTGCTCTTCAGCTCAAGGTGAGTGGTCTACCACTTGAGCCACAGTGCTACTTCTGGTTTTCTGGTGGTTAGTTGGAGATAAGAGTCTCACAGACGAGATGGGAAGGTAGCTCAGTGGTAGAGTGCACCACATAAGCAAAAAGAAAGCTAGAAGTGGCATTGTGGCTCAAGTGGTAGAGTGCTAGCCTTAAGTTGAAGAGCTGAGGGGCAGTGCCCAGGCCCAGAGTTCAGGCCCCACGACTGGCAAAAAGCAAAAACAACAACAACAAAAAAGAGTCTCACAGACTTTCCTTGCCTGGGATGGCTTCGAATCGGGATCCTCAGGTCTTGGCTTCCTGAGTAGCTAGGATTATCGGCATGAGCCACTGGTCCCCGCAGCACTCTATCTTTTGAGCCATAGCTCCATTTCTGGATTTTTGGTGTTTAATTGGAGATAAGATTCTTATGGATTTTCCTGCCTGGGCTGGCTTTGAACTGTGATCCCCAAATCTCAGTCTACTGAATAGCTAGGATTACAGATATGAGCCAACAGTGCCTGGCTGAATCTTTTTTAACTAAGTAAAAGGATTTCATTCCCAATCCCTGAATGATCTGATCCAGTAGGCCTGGGGAAAAAAGTTGAAGTATATATTTTATAAAAGCCTTATAAATTGCAAACTATCTCATCAGGAGAAATCCAGTTCTGATAACTGAAAGGAAGGTACTAAGAAACTCTCTTAACATTTACTATAATAAGAATACATTTTGGCTTCTCTTTCCATTAGTACTAGAAACAGAAAAAGATAAAGAAACATAGGGTGGGCACAAACATAACCACAACTTAAGTCTTGCTAAATTCTCTTTGTTGAAGAACCATATCATGGTTATATTAACTCTGATCCACCATTGTAGCCTATCTTCAGTGCTTTATTCTGCACTGAATACTCTATACACAGTTTAAATTTTGGCAAAAAATCATGTAACACTATTTGAAGTAAAGAACAATTGGCTTTCTAACCAAGAAGATTCATGATTTTGGAGAAATATAACCTAAAGGCAAGTGCAAATAATAAAATTGGCAGATACTAAACAACTTGGTATACATTACTGAAGATGTAATTAAAAATATAAAATAGAAAAATGAAAATATAGCTGGGCATGGTGGTATAAAATTGCAATCCTAGGGAGGCTAAAGCAAGAGGCCTGCCTGGGCTTTACAGCAAGACCCTGTTTAAGAAAAGCAAAACAAAAAAACCCCCAAAACCCCAAAGTAACAATAAAAGGTGAAAATACAATTTAAAACTTACTTAAAATGAAGATCCTTACCACTACACAAAAGCACAAATTATACTGAATACTACATTAAAAAATGGGTATAGCTGGATTAAAAGATGAGTACAGGACTTAGGATTGTGGCTAGAGTGACAGAGTGCTTGTCTAGCATGAATGAAGCCCTGGTTTCAATTCCTCAAAAAATCACATAAACAGAAAAAGCTGGAAGTGGTGACGTTGTGGCTCAAGTGGTAGAATGCTAGCCTTGAGAACAGAGAAGCTCAGGAACAGTGCCCAGGTCCTGGGTTCAAGCCCCACAACTGACAACAACAACAAAAAAGCTCAGAGACAGTGCCCAGGCCTCAAATTCAGGCCTTAGGATTAATGTGCATACATACATGCACGTGCACACAAGCACACACAAACAAGAAAATTTGGTATGCACTGAACACATACAGGTTTCTTTCACTGCATTAGGAATAATTTAAAATATAGACATAGTTTAAAATATATGGAGGATATGTGTAGGTTATATACATTTTTTTATATAAACGTCAGTGTTCTGACAATACTGAAGGGTATCTCTTGTAACAGAAAATGGTATTTGCTATCACAACTTCAAACAGAAAACAGAAGTAACTAAAACTTACCTCATTGTCTTGCTTCTCATCCCCAGACATATCATCATCTACATCACTACCTGTGCCTTCAATTGCAAGAATACCATTCCTGATGGAGGGAATCATGTAGAGTTGCTGAATCACAGAATTCATATAACAAGTAGCACCAGCATTTTTCAGCCCCACAAATCCTTTTGGTGGGCGGGGTCCAACAGGTGGTAGATATTCCCACTCAGTAAGTGCTTCACAAGCTAATAAAGAAAAAACGAGTTTTATAGCACAAATACAACCATTTTATCCTTCAAGTTCCATTAAGCTGACAAAAATAACACTAACAATAGTTCTACTGCTCCAGCAGTCACCTGTCACATGCTCTTACTTGGCATCTCCCCCTCAATAAATAGTAACCTCATAAGCAATCATATAATATGGCATAGTGCCAATATGCTACATATGCTAACTTTTGTCGGTCATGGGGCTTGAACTCTGGGCCCAGGCACTGTCTCTCAGCTCAATAGCTCAAGGCAAGTGCTCTACTACTTGAGCCATAGCACCACTTGCTGTTTTTTGAGTGGTTTTTATTGGAGATAAAGAGTCTCACGGCCTTTCCTGCCTGGCTGGCTTCGAACTGTGATCCTCAGATCTCAGCCTCCTGAGTAGCTAGGATTACAGGTGTGAGCCACCGGCACCTGGCTTATGCTAATTTTTCATTCATTTAGTTTTCTCCTAGCAAATGTAATAATAGCAACACTGACTTTGCCTATATACACGGAACTATTATAAGGAGTAAACCAGAGAGAAGATTTGAATGCTTTGTAAAAACTGTAAATCACTATATATCTCATCTCCCTCCACCTAGTATAAACATGGAAACACTGCAAATATTATCATTTGCTAGAAGACCAGTTAAATGATAGTATATTAAATTGAAAGGTATACAATCAATAAATGCAATTAAGTCAAGTAATATGTTTGACACGGAACCAAAAGAGGTACTTTTAAGTGAAAAACAAAAGAACATTGTAAAACTGTATCTCAATCTGCTTGAAAATAGATTTTGTATATAGATTTAACATACATATAGAGAAGTTGAGAAGACACAAATCAATAAAAATTATTGCAAAAACATACTTTTTCCCCCCATGTAAATGTACAACTCAAAAACAACAACAGCAGTTGGGGGACAGTGGCTCATGCCTGTAATCCTAGCTACTCAGCAGTCTGAGATTTGAGAATCACAGTTTGAAGCCTGCCCAGGCAGGAAAGACTGTTATCACCAATAAACTACTCAGAAAAAGCCAGAAGTAGCATTGTGACTGAAGTGATAGAGCACCAGCCTTGAGCAAAAGAAGCTCTGGGAAAGCACATAGGCCCAGTTTTGGTAGCCCCAGGACTACCAAAACCAAACAAAATGCAAAAATGCATGGGACCAGAGGGAGGGAATCTATTCAAAGTAATACATAAGAGGCTGGGAATATGGCTTAGTGGTAGAGTGCTTGCCTAGCATGCATGAAGACCTGGGTTTGATTCCTCAGTGCCACATATATAGAAAATGCCAGAAGTGGCACTGTGGCTCAAGTGGTAGAGTGCTAGCCTTGAGCAAAAAGAAGCACAGGGACAGTGCGTGCCCAGGCTCTGAGTTCAAGCCTCAGGATTAGCAAAACAAAGTAATACATATAATACACTAAAATAGTATCTTCTCACACTCTATTCTTAAAAAAAAAAGCTCCAATTTGCTAAAAACTCCTGGCAAATGATGAAATATAAAAATAACGTGGAGAAAATTTTAAGTGATGTCTTGAAAGGTTTTCTAATGATTTAATTTAAGTTGCTTTTACATTGACTACTTATTACTCTAGAGTTTAGATTTTACTTTAGATCTAAAAGATGACATTGAATTTACAAAGTTCTCATACCACTTATAAGATGACATTTAACAAACATTTGAAAATTTTTTACTACACAGTATCTTCTTGGTTATAGTGATCTTAATTACATACTCATTCATTAAAAACATTAAACTAGTTCAAAGAAAAAAAAGAACATGACTTGAAGATATTCCCTAAAAGAAAAATCATCAAGCGGAATTTGAAAAATTATCAATCATCACAATTTTATATTTTAAAATACTTACTAGTTATTGCTGTGCCAATGTAATACATTTCAGTCAAAGAGTCTACTATCTGTTTGAGATTTCTCACACAGCCAACAGCTAATGCTACAAGTAACTCAAAACCAGCATTAATTGTAGCTGGTGAACTACAGACTGGGATAGCCTGTTCGGCCGGGAGCTCTCCATTTCTCATATACTGCAGGTAAACATTGGAGGCAGGAAAGATGAAATCATCTATTAGTTCCTGAGGAGTTTAAAAAAAGGATTACATATTAGCAACAATATATTCAGAAATGTGTCTTATAAGAAAATAATCCTACATTTTATTGGAATTTTAGATTCTATTGTATCTCAGAAACATTCAATTTCCTTGTTTCTGTTGGGGGTGGGTAGTACTGATGCGCAACTTGAGGAACACTTGAGCCATGCATGCTTCAGGCTCAGCATTTTATGGTTATTTTGGAGACAAGAGTCTCACAGACTTTTCCAATTATACTGACTTTGAACTGAGATCCTCTGGGTCTCTTGTCTCCTGAGTAGTTAGGAATATAGGAGTAAGCCACTAGTGCCCAGCTTACTTCGATTTGCAATCGGGGAAAAAAAATTGACTTAAAAACATCACTATAGGGCTGGGAAGGTGGCTCAGTGGTAGAGCGCTTGCCTTGCATGCATGAAGCTCTGGGTTTGATTCCTCAGCACCACATAAGCAAAAACAAAAAAGCTGGAAGTGGCACTGTGGCTCAAGTGGTAGAGCACTAGCCTTGAGCTGAAGAGCTGAGGGACAGCGCCCAGGCCCAGAGTTCAGTCCCCATGACCGGACCCCCCCCCAAAAATGTTCAGCTACAGTACCCATACCCTGAGTTCAAGACCTCAAATCTGCACATACACACAAAAAAGTAAAAAACAAAACACACAAAAGGTCAAGATAATATACCTAAGATATTACCAGTCAGATTTATTTCAGTCAAATTTAATGATAAACATTAGAAGGATATGATATCCAGTTTAGTACCAAGAACACTGAACTTACTTTAATGAGATTAGCACCTCCTTTTTCACAACCAATATGAAACTTCTTCTCAGGAGTCTGAAAGGCTAGTAACTCTTTTGTTACTCCAAGGTGGCCCTCCAAAATTGTCTCTTCTACACCTGTGTCACCTGTTCTTTTAACATCATCCTGCCAAAGAAAAGTATGTTAAGTGCCTAACATATGAAAGGGAGGAAAAGCGGATTTAGAAAAAGAGCTAAAGGGACATGAAATAAATTCACCTGAGCCTTTCCATTCAAACAAGTTTAAGTTATCTTCAGAACTTTCTAGAAGTATGCTTATTAAACTGCTAAGAGAAATGCTAATCTGAATGCTACAACTATAAATTTTCATATGTTCTGCCTAAGAGCTAATCAAAAGTGCTAGTTTACAAGATTCATTTTTGATGAAAATCTAGTATTTAAAAAAGATGATAGTTAAAAAAGGCCAAAGGTATTAAATTTGAAGCAGCTCAACCTTGGTATTAAAAATTTCAAGGAATTTTATATAAGCAGTTTCATGAGTTACCAATAGCCACTGAGGTGATATATATTCTTTGGTCTATTTCATTAATTTGGAATTAACTATCTCACCAAAATGTTAAAAAATATTAAACCACTTATTAATTAAACACACTATTAACAAAGATACAACAAATAGTATTAACTGCAACTTACCCTAATTCTTTTAAGCCAATCGATTTCATTATTGAGAAGAACTTCAGCATTGGGTACATTAATATTACTGTTGTAAGCATAATTAAGAAGGTGCCTTAAGAGAATGAAGTAGTCGCCTGAATGTTTGGCCCTCTCTCTGGCTGTGCTCTGAAAGCAATCAAGCATAATCATAAATTCACTTTTCAAATCATCCCATTTAATAAGAACAAGTTACTAAAATAACCATAGAAACTTCCAGTTATTAAAACCACATATTCTTAAATATCGTTGCTGAAAGAATGAATTGTACTGGTAAACATATTTTAAAAAAGTCTCACCCCCAAAACAGTAAAGAGTAGAGTAATGAAGAAAAGCAGAGGCCTGTGTCCCATGCAGCATCTGGTGCACATTAAAAAGAATTGCTCCTGTGCCACTTGACGAACAGTTCTGAAATAGAAATGTTTCACATTTAATGAATTCTAATTAAAGAAAAAAATCTCTAACACTTTGTGAGGGGGGGTACTTAAGTTGTATGTCTAGGACTATGACCTAAGAATTTTGAGAGATGCCTTCTAATGTATTTCCTCCATCCCTTTGAACAAACTGGAAACTTAAGATACAAAATAGAAAGCTTAATGTATCTTTTGGGCTTATATCATTTGTACAGGGGCCAATATCATTGTTACATGTCCATACATTTACACTGTATTCTAATCAATTTTACCTCCCTTTTTTGCGTCTAAGAAACAGCATTCCCAACAGGTTTTCTTGTTACATTTTTATAGTTGCAAACAATCTGTTTCAACAGTATCCAATCTTCTTTATCCTCCTTCCAAGCATATCCCCTTTGCTCGTTCTTACCCAGAGAGTCTTATTTCTCTTCCATCCAGCTTTTGTTGAGTTTCTCTATGTTGCTCTCATATATACTTGCAATACAGTTACAGTTAATTCACCCCCCTTTGTTTTCTTCTCCCCATTTTTCCTCCTCAATAGTCTTAGTTTGACTGATGTTTAACCATCTAAGTAATTGTGTATATGGATGCTTATACTTAGGTACATGTCTATGAGTAGGGATGCTCAAATGGAAAAGCATATGCAAGTATTAGAAATCTGAAACATCTTCAAATGTGAAACACTTCTGGCCCAATCATTTCAGAAAAGCATTTCAACCTACTCTACAGGAAAAAAAATCAGGCGCCAAAAGAGAGGTGAAATAGCAAGACACAAGATCCTAACTATAAAACACTTCTTTATCATTGCAGAAAAGATAACAGACATAATGTGATGAAGTGTTTTCTATATTATCTTACATTATTATATACATGTTTCAGGGAGGAGGATGAACTGGTTCCGTCTTATATAAGGGAAACATTATCAACAGTAGAAGGCAGAGAACTTATTAAATCAAGTTCCTTAATTCTTGTTTGCCTAAGAGGTGAAACACACTCCTAATTAAAGTATTAAAAAACCCAAATCCTAGCTATTCAGGAGATTGAGATCTGAGGACTGCAGTTCAAAGCCAGCCTGGACAGGAAAGTATGTGAGACTCTTAAGCTTAAAGTATAGCTGTGGTTTAAGTGATAAGAGTGTTAGCCTTGAGCACAAAAGATCAGGGACAGCACCAGACCCTAAGTTCAAGCCCCAGGACTGGCACACACACACCAACCCCCCTCCCACCCCAAAACAAAACAGTAACACAAGGAGTAAAAATTTGCTACTTCCAGGTTTGCCTTTATTACTAAATGGAATTAAGAGTTGTTCAACATGTTTATCTTTTTCAGTGTATAGTTGTCTATCCATGATAAAAAAAAATCTTAAAGGAATTAGCAAGCCTTCTCCTTTTTGCTATATGAGGAGTTCCTGAATAGCTAAGACTGGTTGCCTTCAAGGAAATTACCCAAGGAACTTCTCTCAACAATAAACATTCCCACTTGAGACCTACATTACTTTTGAGAATCCTCAGTATTGGGCAAACTGAACCTATTCCATTACATCATGTGCATTTAAAAAATATCTACTGAAGGGCTGGGAAGGTGGCTCAGTGGTAGAGCACTTGCCTTGCAAGCCTGAGGCCCTGGGTTCTATTCCTCAGCACCACATAAGCAAAAAGAAAAAAGGCAGAAGTGGCGCTGTGGCTCAAGTGGTAGAGCGCTATCTTTGAGCTGAAGAGCTGAGGGACAGCGCCCAGGCCCAGAGTTCAGGCCCCACAACCAGACCCCCCCAAAAAAAATACCTACTGAGATTGGGAATGTGGCTTAGTGGTAGAGTGCTAGCCTAGCATGCATGAAGCCCTGGGTTCGATTTCTTAGTACCACAGAAACAGAAAAAGCTGTAAGTGGCTCTGTGGCTCAAGTGACAGAGTACTACCCTTGAGCAAAACAAGCTCAGGGACAGTGCTCCAGCACTGGCAAAAAAATAAAAAAAATCTATTCATTGTTAGACTTCATTTTGGCAAATTGCTTATTATTTTATGCTAACTTTACATCATTTTGCCATTGTTGAATGGCATACAACAGAAATGATAAACTGAATGTTTGTTCATCATAAAATGTATGTAAGACAAATTAATTACATTTAACATTGACACTAATTAGTTTAAAAGGTTTACCTTATGTATGAATGTCAGGAATAGATTGACAGGAAAGGATGGAAACCAACATTTTCTACAAATCTGACTCATATAAAAACAAGTTCAAAACAAAATTACTGTCACTGATTAAATGTTTTCTTTTTTGTTGGTTGTGGGACTTGAACTCTGGGCTTGGGCGCTGTCCCTGCACTCTTCAGCTCAAGGCAAGCACTCTACTGCTTGAGCCCCACTGCACCACTTCCAGTTTTCTAGTAGTATATTGGAGATAAGAGTCTCACAGACTTTCCTGTACGGGCTGGCTTTGAACCATGATCCTCAAGGGATCTCAGTCTCCTGAGTAGGTAGGATTTCAGGTGTGAGCCACTGGCACCCGGCTGATTAAATGTTCTTGAAATCACAATGAGTGATTTATAATAATCTTTATTCTAGTATAAAATACCAAAGTTCCTATGACAACAAAAACTCCTAAGTTTCATCTAAGTTTTTTTTTACTTTTTTGGTTTTGGTTCTGGGCTTGAACTCAGGATCTCTTACTAAGATTGCCCTATCACTTAAACCATATTTCCAGGTTGGCTATTTGCTAGTTAATAGGGTTTGGAGTCTTGCAGACTTTTCTGCCCATCTGGCTTTGAACTATGACTGATCTCAGCCTCCTGAGTAGCCAGAATTACAGGCATGAGTGACTGGCACCCATACAGATTAATAGTTTGACTAAAGAAAACATGGCGGGGCTGGGAATGTGATCTAGTGGTAGAGTGTTTGCCTAGTATGCATGAAGCCCTGGGTTTGATTCCTCAGTACCACATAAACAGAAAAAGCCAGAGGTGGCACTGTGGCTCAAGTGGTAGAATGCTAGTCTTGAGCAAAAGAAGCTCAGGGAGAGTGCCCAGGCCCTGAGTTCAAGCCCTAGGACTGGCAAAAAAACCCCCAAACAAAACAAAAACCCAAACATGGCATCTAGGAAGACAAGACGGGAAGCTATTGTCTTTTGTAATTTTGCAGACTAAAACAAATTTATGTTAAACAAAACACTTAAAAAAACCTTCCTCATGGGGCTGGGAAGGTGGCTCAGTGGTAGAGCGCTTGCCTTGCATGCCTGAGGCCCTGGGTTCGATTCCTCAGCACCACATAAGCAAAAAGAAAAAAGCCAGAAGTGGTGCTGTGGCTCAAGTGGTAGAGAGCTAGGCTTCAGCTGAAGAGCTGAGGGACAGACAGTGCCCAGGCCCAGAGTTCAGGCCCCACGACTGGACCAAAAAAAAAAAAAAGAAAGAAAGAAAGAAAAAAAACCTTCCTCAGTCAGGCGCCAGTGGCTCATGCTTGTAATCTTAACTACCTACTCAGGAGGCTGAGATCTGAAGATGGTTCAAAGCCAGCCCAGGCAGGAAAGCCCATGAGACTCATCTTCAATTGACCACCAGAAAACCAGAAGTGGCGCTGTGGCTCAAGTGGTAGAGGGCTCGTCTTGAGCTGATGAGCTCAGGGACAGGGCCTAGGAGTTCAAGCCACACACACACACACCTCTTCCTCAACACCAATGTGCCAAAGGGAATGGATTATTTGATTTCTGCCATAATGGCAGCATAAATTAATTCAATTCTGCTTACAAAAATAAAATCACATTTCTTTAAAAAAGATACTTACTTGCTGTGACAGTGTAACAATAAGTCAATAATGAATGTCTGCCAAGCTTTTTCTTTACTTAGAGTGTCTAAGGCTGTTGGAATCAAGGCAAAACATAATGTCATCACTTCCAATGCTTCACAGCAAACTTGTTCATCTTCCAAGTCCAGTTCATTGCCTGCATTAGTCTGTAAATTTATAACAATAAATTACCTAGAGACGCATTTAAGAAAAAAAATCTCATACAACTTTAAGTTAGTGCTTAAAAACTTTCCTACTCAAACCACACAACCTCAAAGTCTCCTTATAAGTCAGTCAGTCAGTCAGTCAAGCAATCAATCTGTCTCTGAACTAAGGTTTGAACTCAGGGCTTTGTGCTTGCTAGACAGGCACTGCCACTCCAGCTACAACTTTAGTCATCCTATTTTTTTGGGGGGGCAGTCTTACTAGAAGGCAAGGCAGGCTTGTAACTTGTGATCTTCCTTCCTTTATCTCCTACTAGCTACTCAGGAGGCTGAGATCTGAGCCCCATGATTGACAAAAAAAACCTGACTAGCTGGGTGCTGCTGGTTCATGCCTATAATCCTAGCTACACAGAAGGCTGAGATCAGCAGAACATGGTTCAAAGCCAGCCCAGACAGGAAAGTCTGAGAGACTCTTTATCTCTAAATAACCACAAAATAGCCAGAAGTAGAGCTGTGGTTGAAGTGGTAGAGTACTAGACTTGAGGACAAAAGCTCAGGGACAGTACCTAGACCCTGAGTTTAAGCCCCAGGACTGGTACCAAAAAAAGGCAAGTTAGAGGTATAGCTCAGGTTATGATACTAGCATGTGCATACACATCCACATCCACAAACACTTAAAAAGCCATAATGTAATAATTGACAGTTAACAAAACACTAACTTACACAGGACTGAAAATGATGAAATAATAAAAAGAATGAGAGGGATTGGGAAGGTGGCTCAGTGGTAGAGTGCTTGCCTTGCATGCATGAGGCCCTGGGTTCGAGTCCTCAGTACCACATAAGCAGAAAAAAGCCAGAAGTGGCACTGTGGTTCAAGTGGTAGGGCACTGGCCTTGAGCTGAAGAGCTGAGGGACAGCGCCCAAGCCCAGAGTTCAGCCCCCACAACTGGAAAAAAAAAAGAAAAAATAAAAAAAATAAAAAGAATAAGAGAAAGCAAATTCATTGTGAGACAATTATGTCTGATCCCAGTAAGAAGAAAAACACAGGTTCAGGCAGGAGTCAGTGGCTCACGCCTATACTCCTAGCTACCTCAGGAAACTGAGATCTGAGGACTGGAGCTTGAAGCCAGACTTGGCAGACAAATCTGAGGCTCTTATCTCCAATTAACCAGCAAAATGCAGCAATTCAAGGTATTGCTCAAGTGGTAGAGCACCAGCTTTGAGTGGAAAGCTAACTAAGAACACAAGGCCTTGAGTTCAATCAAGCCCTTAGTGGCACAAAACAACATAAAAAACCCATTAATAAGTAGCTTCATAGTAGGTTTCTTTCTTTTTTTGGGGGGGGTCCGCTTGTGGGGTCTGAATTCTGGGCCTGAGCGCTGTCCCTCAACTCTTCAGCTCAAGGCTAGCACTCTACCACTTGAGCCACAGCGCCACTTCCGGCTTTTTGCTTATGTGGTGCTGAGGAATCAAACCCAGGGCCTCAAGCATGCAAGGCAAGAGCTCTACCACTGAGCCAACTTCCCAGCCCTTCATAGTAGGTTTCTAAAAATACTTTCCAAAATGAAATTTTTACTAAATTTGGAATGATAGCTACCAGTGAATTTTTTCACAACTAAAAACAAGTGACTAGATTTTTATAGATAGTAAACAGTAAATGTGTAATTAGGCAGCATTTATTTTTAAAAGGAATATATTTGTCATAATTCTTACCTTCTCATAAATTTTAGTAATTTCTTCATTTGGGCTAAATACTAGCTGTAATGCTCCGCATCCTGATGCCCAGATAATCTTTTGAATAGCTCTTATTACACAAATATCAGGCATATATCTTGATGCCTACAAGATAATGAATATTTAAAACCGAAAGGAGTATTAGAGTAGAATTCACTAAAAAGATCAAAACATTTCTCCTTATAAATAAAACACAAATTGCCATATATTGTGTCTTAAGTTCCTAAGTTTTTTGTCCCACAGCAATATAACAAAGTATGTTATGTTAATACCTGGTCCTGAACTATTTTAATATCTTAAGATTATTGAGATGACAATCATATCACTCTCAGTTGCTTACTCAAGAAAAATAAGGCTGGGTGCTGGTTGCTCATGCCTGTAATCCTAGCTACTCAGGAGAATGGATCTGAGAACCGCAGTTCAAAGCCAGCCCAGACAGGAAACTCTGTGAGACTCTCATATCCAATTACCCACCAGAAAACCTGAAGTGGTGCTGTGGATCAAAGTGGTAGAGTGTTAGCCTTGAGCAAAAGAGCTCAGGGACAGTGCCCAGGCCCCGAGTTCAGCCCTATGACTGACAAAAAAAGAAAAAAAACCCTATGTTCAAACAGTTGCACAAAATATTCATAGCAGCTTTTGTCACAAAAGGGCAAGCAACTTTTTTTTTACAATTAAAAAAATTATCTTTAAATTGTTTTACAAATGGGCTTTAGTTTAACATGTCAATTTATGTGTACAATGTATCTTGATCAGTCTAACAATTCCAGTCTTGATAAGTATATGAAAGACTATTCATAATGGGACAATATTTAGCAATAAAAATTTATTTTGGGGGCTGGGAAGGTGGCTCAGTGGTAGAGTGCTTGCCTTGCATGCATGAGGCCCTGGGTTTAATTCCTCAGCACCACATAAACAAAAAGAAAAAAGCTGGAAGTGGGGCTGTGGTTCAAGAGTGGTAGAGCGCTAGCCTTGAGCTGAAGAGCTGAGGGACAGCGCCCAGGCCCAGAGTTCAGGGCCCATGACTGGACCCCCCCCCCAACCAAAAAAAATTTATCCATAAAACAAATAATTCTCAAAGTAACCATTCAATTGTTATTTAATTTATTAGAGACAGAGTCTTACTATGTAGCCCAGACAGGCCTTGAAGTCATGAGCCTCCTGAGTACTGAATTACAGGTGTGTAACCATGAAAGCTCTATATGGCACATTTGTGTAAAAAAAAAAATCTAGAAAAGGCCAAGCCCTGGTGGCTCACACCTGTAATCCTAGCTACAAGAGGATGAGATCTGAGGATTACAGTTCAAGGCCAGCTTGGGCAGGAAAGTCTGTGAGACTCATCTCCAATTAACCAGCAAAAAGAAAAAAAGCAGAAGTAGAGCGGTGGCTCAAGTGGTCTAGCACTAGCCTTGAGCAAAAAAGCTAGGGACAGCACCAGGCCCTGAGCTCAAGTCCCAGGACCAGTACACATACATAAAAAATTCTAGAAAATAAAAACTCTTCTAGGAACAAAAAGATCAGTGATTAACTGGGACAAGAAGATAATTGCAAAGGATTTAAGAAAAAAATGACAGAACTATTCTGTTTTGGGGCTGCATGCATGAGATCCTGGTTTAGATAATGATGCCCAGAATCACAGAAAAAAAAATTTCATGCAGGGCTGGAAAGGTAGCTCAGTGGTAGAGTGCTTGTCTTGCATGCATGAGGCCTTGGGTTTGATTCCTCAGCACCACATAAGCAGAAAAAGCGGGAAGTGGTGCTCAAGCAGTAGAACGCTAGCCTTGAGCTGAAGAGCTGAGGGACAGCACCCAGGACCCACAACCGACAAAAAAATAAAATAAAATAAATCATGCACTATTCATATATATATATATATTTGTCAAAATTTCCTAATCTATGTACTTTTGGAAATACGTTACGTATATGTATATATATATGTATATGTATATATATATGTATATATATATGTATATATATGTATATACATATACATATATATACATATACATATAGTTGATGCCCTAAGTTGAAGCCCCAGCACTGGCAAAAACAAACAACAACAATAACAAAAAACAAAAAACAAAAACCGGGGCTGGGAAGGTGGCTCAGTGGTAGAGCGCTTGTCTTGCATGCATGAGGCCCTGGGTTTGATTCCCCAGCACCACATAAGCAAAAAGAAAAAAAAAGCCGGAAGTGGCACTGTGGATCAAGTGGTAGCGCGCTAGCCTTGAGCTGAAGAGCTGAAGGACAGCGCCCAGGCCCAGAGTTCAAGCCCCACGACTGGACCCCCCCCAAAAAAAACAACAAAAAAACCCACCTTCACTACCCCCCAAACCCCCCTCCCTGCCTGCCCACCGGCCAGTGGCTGAGGTCTGTAATCCTAGCTACTCAGGAAACTTAGATATGAGGATCAAGGTTCAAAGCCAGACCAAGGCAGTAAAGTCCATGCGATTCTTATGTCCAATTAACCAGCAAAAAATTGGAAATGGAGGAATGGCTCAAGTAGTAGAGTACCAGCTGTTAGCAAAAAAGGGAGAGTACAAAGGATCTAAGTTCAAGCTTCAGTACCAGCACAAAAAATTTAAAAAAGTCTGATGTTAAAGGGAATTTTTATCTATACTTGAGTAAAATGAGTCAAGGAAAATTAAAATTATCCTTTTAATAATCCTTATAACACATTAAATGTGTATGCACATATGCGTATGTATGTGTGTGAGTATAATTTAAAATACTAACCTCATCAGATATCTGCTGAGCAAGACGAACAGACACATTTCTAAGCATGCATTCAGATGATGGGTTAGGAATGCTCTGAAGGGCACTTTGTAGCACCACTGCTTGATCATGAATAACCTGGTTGACCTGAAAAATGTTAACCATTTTGCTTAAGCAAATAATCTGTACGTAACTAGAAACAACCATCTATACTACATCCATCAACTCTCCCTCAAGAACAGGTCCTACCATATATTTACTGTATCACCTGGAGTGGCTTATGTAAAATTCACTTCGCATTATCAATACGGTGTGCACTTCCATTGTCATATCTCTACAAACCTCCATTCTAGATTAACCCAACCCAGGTCTCTACATCTGGGTTCACTTTGGCTTGCAGTAGAAAAACTATAAATTGAATAGACTGAGTCCAACCTCATTTAGACTCAGCAAAGAATTTCACATCTTTTACATACATGCTTCCAGGAAGACCTTGTTCATATTCACCACTATAATCAAATTCTATTTTTTTTCTTCTTCAGATGTCTGGTTTCTGTATTATATCTGAAGCCTTACCAAATTCTATTTTGAAAAGGGAAAAAACAAAGACCAGCACCTCAGAAAAAAGGAAGTTTTTACTTAATAATATTACTTTTGTAAATCTATGCATAAGAAGCAATAAATTGACTAAGGCATTTCCAAGTTTTCACTTTATAACATCATTTAAGATATTCCTATATTTTACATTTAGTTTCCTGTTGACTGTGTGCCCTTTAATATTAGAAGCAATTAGGTAAGTCCTAAGTCCTTAAGGAAGGGTAAAAAATGGAAGCACGAGAGAGAGAGAGAGAGAGAGAGGAGAGAGGAGAGAGAGAGAGAGAGAGAGAGAGAGAGAGAGAGAGTTACCTTTCTCTAAGTCCTGAAGGAAGGGTAAAAAAGGGAAGCACATGAGTGTGAGTGTGTGTATGTGTGTGTACTCTTTATTAAGCACTCATATTAGGGATCAAGACAAAAAATATTTTTTTGGCAGTACTGGGGTATGAACTCAGGTCTTTCAGCTTGCTAGAATGGCATTCTACCACTTAAGGCACACTTCTGTTTTCTGCTGTTCCCCAGGCTGTCCTTGAATCTTGATCCACAGGCATGAGATAGTGTAGAACGGCAAAAATCTGTTTGTTTTTGGCCTAACAAGAAACTGTATTCTTTTAGCCAATTAAAAAGCACTCTTAAAAAAATCCTAACAAGGGGCTGGGAATGTGGCCTAGTGGTAGAGTACTTGCCTAACATGCATGAAGCCCTGGGTTCAATTCCACAGTACCACATTAACAGAAAAAAAAACAGAAGTGGCACTGTGGCTCAAGTGATTAAGTGCTAGCCTTGAGCAAATGAAGCTCAGGGACAGTGCCCAGGGCTGGCAAAAAAAAATCTTAACAATAGGGTAGGAGTGTGGCTCAAGTCACCTGGCCCTGATTTCATTCCCTGGTACAACCAAGTTAGCCCTTGGCCCTAACAAAATGATCTTAAGAGTGAAAGAACCAATGTAAAATTTAGGTCATCTGCCAGGCACTGGTGGCTTACACCTAGAAGGTTAAGATTTGAGGATCAAGATCTAAAGCCAGCCTAGGCAGGAAAATCCATGACACTCTTAACTCCAATTAATCACAGAAAAAGCCAGAATTGGTGCTCTGGCTCAAATCATAGTGTTAGCCTTGTGCAAAAGGAGCTTAGGGACAGCACCCAGGCCCTGAGTTCAAGGCCCAGGACTGGCAAAAAAAAAATCAACTCATCTTTATTATTTTTTGGTGCCAATCCTGGGGTTTGAACTCAAGAGCCTAGGCAGCATCCCTTAGATTTTTTGCTCAAGGCTTGAGCCACAGCTTCAGTACCATTAACAATGGACCAAAATCTAGGTACTTGACCTCCCTCCTCATCACAGGATTGTTTCTTCCTCAAGACCTAAGCCATCTCTAAAGAAAATTTAATCTGTTACTTGGGAGACAGATAGGAAGGATCACCATTTTGGCAAGCATAGTCCAAAAAAGGAAGAGACCCCATCTTAAAGAATAAGCCTGGGCAGTACACACTCAAAATCTCAGTTGTTCAAGAGGAGAGGAGAGAACTTGTTGAAGGATGACTTGGGCCAAAAGACAGAGAGTATATATGAAAACTAAAATGAAAAGGGCTGCATGCCCGGTTCAGGTGATAGATACTTAGCAAGCATGAGGCTGAGTACAAACCCAGTAACACACACACACACACACCTGAACTTTTAGCAAGCATGAGGCTGAGTACAAACCCAGTAACACACACACACACACACACACACACACCTGAACTTTTAGCAAGCATGAGGCTGAGTACAAACCCAGTAACACACACACATGCCTGGTTCAGGTGAGATACTTAGCAAGCATGAGGCTGAGTACAAACCCAGTAACACACACACACACACACACACACACACACACTTGAACTTTTAGCAAGCATGAGGCTGAGCACAAACCCAGTAACACACACACACACACACACACACACCTGAACTTTTAGCAAGCATGAGGCTGAGTACAAACCCAGTAACACACAAACACACACACACACACACATACCCCCCCCCCCTCTGAACTTTTCTCTTTCACCAATAACTTAGTCAAACCAACCTCTCATAAATATCAAATTCTGTCATGTCTTGAGGACTTTTGTGACATGGATCAGGGTATCATACCAAGGCAAAGAAAGAGTCAGAACAAGGTCAGAACTGGAGGTTAAATTGATTAAAGTGGGAAGGGAAGCTGACAACAGGTTAAATCAACTATGTTTTTTTCTATCATCTGTGTCATTAGTTATCTGCTAGGCACAAGATAATAAGAGACATGGGGTTAGGTTTAAAGTAACTGAGAGCCAGGGAAGATTTAAGTAGGCAGAGGGGGAACTGCCCTCTTAGAGTGAAGAGCATTTGCACTTTAAATACAAATACAGTCTAACAGAGGATAACATATTAACAAGGTATTCATTGGAAAGAACTTTCAACATTGAGTCAATCTTGAATGGTATACTTTCAAGTTATCAAGAAATATAATTTAAAAAATTACTATCTACTGTTAACAGGGAGCTTAAAAGTCTGTATTACCGATGGATTCACGCCTTCTGCACCTGGCTGACAAGCTTCTGCCACAGCCCGAACATGGCCATAGCCAATGGCAGTTAGCAACAGTTTGGCTATTTTAAGAGCATTGAGGTAAGCACCCCTCCGAGTTTCCATGTCTGCATTTGGTAGGAAGTTATTTCTTGTTAGCATACTCAAGACAAGGGGTAGACCACCACTTTTCAAAAAGTGAAACTGAAAATCAGAGGAATCCTCAGCTAGGGGTGCACCAGCAGGCATTAACAAGGCATAGATGACCTGGAAAAAAAAGAAAAAAAGAGAAAGAACTGTGTAAAAGTATTAAAAAATACACACATATATACATACACATACAAAACAACAACTTGTACATCACCTATCATTACAGCCAAGACATTTGTGACCATTTAAAAAATGTCCTATTACATGCTTATCTATAGTCTTCTACAACAGATTTTAAAGATCTCATTTAGTTGGGAGGCTCAAGCCTATAATTCTATCTACTCTGTATGCAGAGATTTGAGGATCTCAGCTTGAAGCCAGGGGAAGTCCATAAGCCTCTTACCTCCAATTAAACATAAAGAAGTGCTAGCTTTGAGCAAAAATGCTCACAGACAGTGCTCAGGCCCTGAGTTCAAGCCCTAGTACTGTATGTGTGCATGTGCACACGCACACACAATCACACTTAAAAATAAATTCAAAAGGAAAATACTAACCTCTGTTAAGTATAGCACTTGTGAGGCTGAAGGACCAAAGAATAGTGAGTCAAGAGATGGACTAAGGCTGCTTTCTCCAAGTTTGGCATGGTCTAAACAAATAGCTCTTAATTTTTCTATTGTTGTGCTATCTGTAAGAAAGAGAAATGGTTCAAAACAAAATATAATTCATTCATGTGTTCATAATACTGCACTGAGATTTTGAATAGGATTTAAAATGAAATAGCAATCAAATCAGTTGAACCACAAGCTCCAAAAATTTAAAAATCCAGAAACAGATCTACCTTTGACCCCCAAAGAAATAAACCCTATGAAGGGCCTTTTAATCATTTAGCTCAAGTACAAAGGAACAAACAAGTCTTTCAGTCTCTACACAACATGGCCCTCTCAGCTGCCAGAGATTAACAAAGCACCATATACTAAGAAAAAATAATTAGCTTTACTTTTTAACTTCTCTATTACTTACTTCTATGATATTACATATTTTTTTGTTTGTCTTTGCCAGTCATGGGCTTGTACTCAGGGCCTGGGCACTGTCCCTGAGCTGCTTTTGCTCAAGGCTAGCACTCTACCACTTGAGCCACAACACCACTTCTGGCCTTTTCTATCTATGTGGTGCTGAAGAATCGAACCCATGCTAGGCAAGCACTCTACCAATAAGCCACATTCCCAGCCCAATGACATTATATATTAAAATTTATTGTCATTGTAAAGGTGATGTACAAATGGGTTATGTAAGTCAGATGAAGAGTACATTTCTTTTTGAACAATTTTATCCCTTTCTTCGATCTCCCAGTTTTTCCCATCATGTCCCCACCCACAAGTTCTATAGTTCAACAGTGTCTAGTGAGTATCACTGCTGCTTTTGTTCACCCTTTGTCTCATCATTTCTGTGACACTATGTTTTAACAAGCCTGCTTCACTTAAAGAGACATAGTGGTACCCAAGAAACTAAACTCTCAAAAGGAAACAGAAAACCTGCCTGGTGGCTGGGAAGGTGGCTCAGTGGTAGAGCGCTTGCCTTGCATGCATGAGGCCCTGGGTTCAATTCTTCAGCACCACATAAGCAGAAAAAGATGGAAGTGGTGCTGTGGCTCAAGTGGTAGAGTGCTAACCTTGAGCTGAAATGCTGAGGGACTGCGCCCAGGCCCAAAGTTCAGGCCCCACGACCGACAAAAAACAAAAACAAAAACAAAAAAACCTGCCTAATTTTTACCTCAAAGTAAGCAGAACTATAATTACTGGGGACTTAGATTTCCCCCTCCTTTTACGCTAAGATCCTAGCAGATAAATCATTTCATCATGAAAAAAATCCTGTCAGCACGAAGAGCTTGGACCTAAACTCTTAAGACATAAAAACAGTGACAACCTATTCCCTAAAAACAAACCAATTAATACAACTAACAGCTATACATGAGAATTTCAAAATACCAAGTGAAGAATGGAACCAAAGAGGAGAAAAGAGACTCAGGAAAAGGAAGCTCTGAATTCTAAGCAAGATGTTTAATGGGTTTCAGATTATAATTTATTCATCTGACAAGTCTGAACCAAACAAATGACCATTCTGCAGCCATTTCAGCTTTTTGTGTACTAAAATGATTTTAGGTCCCTGAAATATGTTCATTTGATTATGAAATAGGTTAAGATGGAAACAATTTAAACCACTCATAATGCTGTCATCCAAAGATAGTTTCTTTTACAATATACTCAAGTCTAAGCAATTACATGATAATAAAGCAACATATTGTTAAATAAAGTAATTCTACCAGGCATTGGGGGCTCATGCCTGCAATCCTAGCTACTCAGGAAGCTGAGATCTGAGTATTAAGGTTTGAAGCCAACCTCAACAGGAAAGTGAGATTCTTATCTCCAATTAATCACCTAAAAAGCTGGAAGTGCAGCTGTGACTCAAATGGTACAGCACTAGCCTTGAGCAGCTCAGGGACAGCACCTATGTTCTGAGTTCAAGCCTCAGGACCAATACACTCTAAAAAAAAAAAGTACTTCCCACAGAGAGATGTGATGAGGTTTAAGCAATCTCATCAGTGAAGAACTTATAATAGATGTCAACTCTTTTTTTGGTGCTGGGTTGAACTCTGGGCATGGGCATTGTCATTCTCTGAGCTTTTGTACTCAAGCTATTCCTATATCACCTGAGTCACAGCTTTGCTTCTGGCTGATCCTGGACTTGAACTCCGGGCCTGGGCACTGTCCCTGAGCTTTCATGCTCAAGGCTAGTGCTCTGCCACTTGTTACTTCTGTTTTTTGGTAGTTGATTGGAGATAAGAGTTTCATAGACTTTCCTACTTGGGGTAATTTCAAAACTGATCCCAGATCTCAGCCTCCTGAGTAGCAAGGATTACAAGTGTACACCAACTGCCCCTGGCAGACATGAGTATATTTGAAGATACAGTTATACTAAACTGCTGTTAACTGCTATAAAATGGAAGTTTAATTTGTGTGTGTGTGTGCCGGTACTAGAGCTTGAACTCAGGGCTTGGTTGCTATCTGTTAACTTTTTTGTTAAGGTTGATGCCCTACCACTTGGAGCCACATTGGAAGTACCAGCTTTCTGGTGGTTAACTGGAGATTAAGAGTCTCAGAGACTTTCCTACTAGGGCTGGCTTTGAACCAGGATGACTCAGACCTCAGCCACCTAAGTAGCTAAGATTAAAGGTGTAAGCCACTGGGAAATGGAAGCTCTTATGAAGAAAAGCAACTTAATTCTATTTGGTGAAGCAAAATATTCTTTATTTACTATGGAACAAGAGTTTATTTTTGCTGTTGCATGTAGAAAGAGAACACAGACACTTTTAAAATTATCAGACAGACACATTAAATTATCCAGAGAAATCTGAAGTTTAATAGTAAGTCACAATAGAGGCAGTTACTAGACTTCAGGTAACTATTCAGGAAAAAAAAAAGAAAAGAGGGATTCATTATATAATGTACAAAATAATGGAAAGTTATTGTGAGAACTTGTTAAAAGGCTAAAGTTGAAAGTGACTGTTTCAAAGGAATAAGAGCAATGATGTTGACACATAATCCATAGGATAGGGTAAGTGGAGACAAACATTTTCTGTAAAGGGCCAGAGACTAAGTATTTTAGGCTTGAAAGACATGATCTCTTTTGAGGTCTACTGTTTCAAGACAAAAGTAGGGGCTGAGAAGGTGGCTCAGTGGTAGAGCACTTGCCTTGCATGCATGAGGCCCTGGGTTCGATTCCTCAGCACCACATAAGCAAAAAGAAAAAAGCTGGAAGTGGCGCTGTGGCTTAAGTGGTAGAGCGCTAGCCTTGAGCTGAAGAGCTGAGGGACAGCACCCAGGCCCAGAGTTCAGGCCCCAGGACAGGACTCCCCCCCCCCCAAAAAAAAAAACAAAACAAAAGTAGCTGAAGATAAAGTTTGTGAATAAATAAGCATGACTGTTTACAAATAAAACTTTGGTTATGACATTATCATATGACATTAAAGTTTAAATTCACGTAATTTTCATGTCACAAAATAATATTTCATTTAATTTTCTTAAAGCAATTTAAGCTGGACGCTGGTGGCTCATGCCTATATTCCTAGCTACTCAGGAAGCTGAGATCTGAGGATTGTGGTCAGAACGTAAGGTCTGTGAGACTCCAACTAATCACAGAAAAAGTTGAAGTGGTGCTGTGGCTCAAATGGTAAAGCGTTAGTCTTGAGCAAAAGGAGCTTAGGGACAGTGCTCAGGTCCAGAGTTTCAACCCCAGGACTGGCAAAAAAGAAAAAAAAAAATCGAAAAATTTAGAAATCTTTCTTATGTTTCTAGAATGTACAAAAACAGATGTGGGGGCTAGGAAAATGGCTTAGTGGTAGTGCCTGACTAGCATGCATGAAGCCCTGGGTTCAATTCCTCAGTAGTACATACACAGAAAAAAACCGCAATTGGCACTGTGGCTCAACTGGTAGAGTGCTGGCCTTGAGCACAGAAAGGCTCAGGGACAGAGTCCAGGAGTTCAAGCCCCAGGAGCGGCAAAAAAATAAAACAAAACAAAAAACAGATGTAGTGGGATGGATTTCACCTTTGGGCTATAGTTTACCAATTCTTCTTGCATGGAGTTTGCTAGCTAGTATATCCCTTTATTGTTTGGCATGTACTTTTATCACCATTTAAAAATTCTTACCTGGTGGCATAAGTTTCATTAGCACTCTTGCTCCATCTCTAAGAGGTGGCATGTTTAGGCTGCTACCTAAATCTGCAACTTGCCAAAGGAAAGAGATGTATCTGGGATGCAGTGACATTATCTAGAATACAAAACACACATGATAATTACCTATAAATTACTCTTCAGAATTGGTACCCACAAGAGTGAATATCTGTAACATTACGTATGTCATTTCTGCTCTTTAAAGATGGTTGGATTTCCTCATTTCACCTTGACAAATTCTTCATAATGCAGTCTGAACACATTTAAGTAACCTCTAGTTAATTTTCTTTTGACAATTTTTTTATATTCTATTAAATAATTTTTCTAATAACCTCTAGTTACTTTTCTTTTTTTTTAAAGATGTAAAACAATAGTATTATTCTGCTGAAATTTTACCTTTTTTGGAAAATACAGTTTTTTTCAATAAATGTATATTAATAAGTGTTTTTTTCTTTCTTTTTTTTTCTTTTTGGTCAGTTGTGGGGAGTAAACTCTGGGCTTGGGTGCTGACCCTCAGCTCTTTAGCTCAGTGCTAGTGTCCCACCACTTGAGCCACAGCGCCACTTCCAGCTTTTTCTGCTTATGTGGTGCTCAGTAATTGAACTCAAGGCCTCATGCATACATAGTTACTTTTCTTTTGATAATTTTTTATATTCTATTAAATTATTTCTCTTTTATACTCAACTCAGACTCGACACACAAAAGGCTGCCATGCTACCTAGTAAATTTCGAATTCACTTGTAGGGAGCCAAATTCTTCTGACATGAGTGCCTAATATTTTAACACCTATAATCCTAGCTACTCAGGAGGCTGAGAACCTTGGTTTGAAGCCGGCTCAGGTAAGAAAGTCAGTGAGATTCTTATGTCCACTTAACCAATAAAAAGCCAGAAGTGGAGCTGTGGTTCAAGTGGCAGAGTGTCAATCTTGAGTGGAAAAAGCTAAGGGACAGTATTCAGGCCCTAAGTTCACGCCCCAGTACTGGCACATGTGCTGACAAGTTCCCCCATGTGAACATGCCTATAATCCTAGCTACTCAGGAGTCTGAGATCTGAGGATCTCAATCTCAAGCCAGCCTGGGCAGGAAAGTCTGTGAGACTCTTATCTCCAATTAATCACAGAAAAAGCCAGAAGTGGCACTGTGTGTGTGGCTCAAGTAGCAGAATGCTAGCCTTGAACAAGAGGAGCTCAGGGCAGTGCCCAGGTTTAAGAGTTCAAGTCTCAGGAGTTGCTAACAAACAAATAAAACCCTTGTGGGAAAAGTGCAAGAGCAAAAAAGAGGTCACTTTTTCTTGGGGCATAAGGATATTTTACTGACAATCTAAGACTTTACATACTTCTCTAATTTTAAAAAGTCCATTTTATGGTACAAATACACAAGACAATATTTTCCTATATGTATACATTCAAGTGTCAACTACGCTCTAATACATTATATATATAAATATGACCATATCTGTTGAAAATTTTTGTTTTAAATTTGAGTTACAATCAGCTTTAACAGGTACCCACTGTGAACTGATGGTTAATTTGATATTTTTCCCCATTAAATTATAAATACCAAGAAAAAATTATTCTACCTATATTTTTATTATAAAAAATCCTAGCATAATGGCTTGTACAACTGCATGTACTCACCACTCCAGGCAGACAGCTTTCTACTTCAGGATTGGGGCCATCACTATAATGATTACCATGGTTTCCAGGAGATCCAGTTGAAGAATCAGAAGAGCTATCAGGGCTTGAAGGCATATTGGAACTTACTTGTGTAAGTTTGGCTGTAATTAGCTGAAATTGATAAACTATGTCAGTATCAAAGACATGGGAAAAAAACTTAAAACACAGAATCCAAAACCTAGTGACATACCAAAAAAAACTACATGGTAAACTTTCAAATACCTCTTAAAAGTATTGTCTCATATAGCCACTTAAGTTTCATTTTTGGAAATTCTTTGATATATCATGTCACAATGTCTTTTTTAGTCTTATAATCCAAGCACCTCACCACAATGCCTTATACCTAACAAATAATCAACATTTACTGAATAAACAATAATACTCTCAAGTTTAGTGTAATTAAGAAGTCTGGGAACTATATATACTTACCGATTTATCTTTTAGGTTTAATTGTCCAATCAACTTTCTGTCATCTCCAGGATCAATCAGTTCACCGCCCACAAAAAGTTCAATTTTTGTATGGGCTACATTGGCTTTAATACGATTGAGAATACATCGTCGAACTGAACCAATTGTATCATTTGTATGAGACCATACCTCCAAGTCATCTACCTGTCTGCCCTGGTTTGGAAATCGAACTATAAAAGAGAGGTGTTTACCACGGAAAGCTCTGAAGTTGGGGAGGGAAAAAAAAGGATAATATGATATTTAGTAGACATTTAAATCTTCTCAAGAAAATTAAGCTAGGAATTTTTAAAATGACAATTTTCTTATTAAACAAGAACAAAATCGATTATTGATGATTATTTTTAGCATCCTGAAAATGAAAACTGATTTCTTCCCCAATGCTGATCCTAAGGCTTGAACTCGGGACACCTCATGCTCTCACACTAGGCTTTTTCCTCTGAAGGCCGGTACTCTACCATTGAGTCACATCTCCACATCTGGCTTTTTTGCTGGTTAATTGGAGATAGGAATCTCATGGACTTTTCTGCTGGCTATGAACTTTGGTCCTCTGATTCCAGCCTTCTAAGTAACTAGGACTACAGGTGTTCGTGAACCATAAGCACCCAGCTTCTGATTTGCTTTTACCTACATTTATTGCAAATCTTCAAAATACAATGACCAAGTATCTTTTTCTTTGTTAGTACTTTTTGTATCTATGAATACAAATGCAGGATGTGGTGGTGCATGCCAGTAATTTCAGTACTTAGTAGGCTGAGCCAGGAAGATGGAGAATTCCAGGTCAGTCTAGGCTACACAGTGAGACTTTCAAAAAGGGAAAACACAAGGCTGGATGCCTATGGCACAGGCCTGTAATTCTAGCTACAGAGAAGGACTCAGCTTCAATGGCAGATTGAGGTTAAACCCAGCCCATGCAAAAAAAAGTCTGTGAGATTCCTATCTCCTCCAATAAACTACCAAAAAAAAAAGCCAGAAGTGGAGCTGTGGCTCAAGTGGTTGAGCAAAGAAAGCTCAGCAACAGTGCCCAGGCCCTGATTTCTAGTCTCAGGACCAGTATTAAAAAAAAAAAACCACATAAACAGAACATCCCTGAACAAACAAAACATCCCCCAAACCACAAATTAAGACAAGAATTGGTAACGTAACTTTTACCTAGAGAACAAGTTTATATAAACAAAAAGGTTGACGTAATTTTTTTCTGAAAAAAATTTAGTAACTCACTCCACATGGTATTTATATTGGCATATTAAATCATACTAAGGGAGCAACTGTATATAAATCTCATTGAATTATTAAATGATGAATAAACCTAATGAGAAATTTTATTAGACCACTTGAAAATATTTCCTATTACATTAGCTATCTGTCAAGGCAGCTTTTATGGTTTCATTCCAATAATTATGCAATCTGACTATGCTATTATTTTTAGTAGTACAAATAACAAAAATAGTCAATAAAAACAGGACTTAAACCTAAACAAAATAAGAACTAACTATGGAGGAATAAAGCCAACAATTTAAAAATATTCTGCCAGGCACCAGTGGCTTACGCCTGTAATCCTAGCTACTCAGGAGGCTGAGATCTGAGGGTTGCAGCTCAAGGCCAGCCTGGGCAAAAAAGTCCGGGAGACTTTTATCTCCAATAAACCACTTAGAAAAAGCCAGAAATAGTGTTGTGGTTCAAGTGGTAGAGCTCTAGCCTTGAGCACAGAGGCCCAGGGACAGTACACAGGCCTTGAGTTCAAGCCCCAGGACAGACAAAAAAAAAATTCTGTGCTGGGCATGATGGCATAAGGATTTTGAGTGAGATCCTGTCTCAAAAAAGAAAACAAAACAATCCTCCCCAAACAGATGGTTTTATAAGAGATAAATAATTAAAGAATAGCAGCAACTGAGCAGTTTTTCACAAACCTTGACATAGGTAGAATTGTTCTTTCCTCATGATAATCACTGTCACATTCATTAATATATTCCCTTAAAACAGTTAATACTCGAACCATTCGAACAGCTTCCTGTCTTGCACAATTAATACTGTCTTTGTCACCATCCAAAACGCACAATGTATCATAAGAAGCTTTCAAACGATCAAAACAAGACTGAATGAAATCTTCATGGATGACCACCTACAAATAATGGGCCAAAGAGAAAGATTCAAACTGCTTTGAAATGAAAAAAATTAAATATATATATATTAATCCAGATGGAGATGGTAACATTAAAGCTGATCTCAAAAGCTGGGTGCTGGTGGATTACACCTATAATCCTAGTTACTCAGGAGGATGAGATCTGAAGATTTTGAATTAGAAGCTAGGCTGTGCAGCAAAGTCTGAGACTCTTACCTCCAAAGAACCAGCAAAATGATGGAAAGAGGTGTGGCTTCAGCCTTGAGTGAAAAAAGCTAAGGGTCAGCACTCAGGCCTTGAGTTAAAGCCTCAGCATCACCATGAAAAAAGTAGGCAATCGATAGTGATAATAAAACACACATTTCCTTGGGTTGGGAAGGTGGCTCAGTGGTAGAGTGCTTGCCCTGCATGCGTGAGGCCCTGGGTTTGGTTCCTTTATAAGCAGAAAAAGCCGGAAGTAGTGCTGTGACTCAAGTGGTAGAGTGCTAACTAGCCTTGAACTTAAGAGCTGAGACCCAGAGTTCAGGCCCAAAGACCAACCAAAAAAAAAAAAACCCAAACCAAAACAAACAAAAGAACCCCACATTTCCAAAAGGAAACTAGAATAGTAAAAAATGAGCTTTATAGGATTAGGCGCTAGTTATTAAAACAAATACAGTACAATCTCTGACATTTCAACATATTTGAAAAAAGAATACAATCACTATAGTTATCAATAAACAAGATTCATATACATGGTATGTCTATGTCTGTCTTTCTCCAAACACACACACATAACAACACATGCACACACGTGTGCACACACAGCATATATTTTGAGATAAACATTGCCCAGGATGGCCTGAAACTTTTGATTCTGACTAGGATTACAGGCATGTACCAACATACGCCTTTTTTTGTGCGGGCCAGTTCCTGGGGCTTGAACTCAGAGCCTAGGCCCAATTCCTGAGCTTTTTTGCTCAAGGCTAGGGCTCTACCACTTGAGCCACAGCTCCACTTCCATCCTTTTGTTGGTTAGTTGGGAGTCTCACAGACATCCCTTCCATGGGCTGGAACCACAGATCCTAAGTAGTTAGGATCATACTCATGAGCCATCAGCACTGGGATCATATCAGTTATATTTATTTATTTATTTATTGCCAGTCATGGGGCCTGAACCCTGGGTGCTGTTCCTCAGCTCTTTAGCTCAAGGCTAGCGTTCTATCACTTGAGCCACAGCGCCACTTCTGGCTTTTTCTGCTTATGTGGTGCTGAGGAATCGAACCCCAGGCCTCATGCATGCAAGGCAAGCACTCTACCACTGAGCCACCTTCTCAGCCCCTCATACCAGTCATTACATATATCTTTTATAAGAACTAAAACAAAGTAAGTCCTAATTAATGTCAAAGAAAAAAGTTTTTAAAAAGGTTTTTTTTGGGCAGTAATGGGGATTGAGTTCAGGGCTTTTCCCAAGCTAGTAAAGGTTCTACCACCTAACGCATGTTCCTAAGCCCAAGATAAAAGTTCTTATCAACAATACAATTTTCACACTTAGAATTCTAAACGGTGCTCACCTGATTGACCTGTAGTCTTGGACCAAGGTTTGTGTAGATCTCTTTAAGGAGATCTATTGCTCTGCTGGCGATGTCATCATTACTCTGAATCACAACCTAGGTTCAAAAAATTGAGGTGTTAATTCTTCTCAAGAAAAGTCTTAGTTGGACATTTAAATACAAACCATATCCTCATTTATTTTATACATTAATAGTTTAATGATAAGCTGACTTTGACAATCAAGTAAAACAATATGCCTGTATTACTTAAGCCTGTAACTTAAGGTCTTGATTAAGACTACAAGAAACACAGTTTAGCATACATAAAAAAGGCTATTTCCTCCACCCCTAATACCTATAAATCTTTATTACTCATCTGATTACATTAGTGGTATTTAAACTCTGTTCAGAACCCTAGGACTTAGAGATGTTGTTTCAGGGCTAAGCAGCTTAAGGAGGAGAAAGGGAATAAAGAAAACATGGGGACATTGAGCAAAGAAATGCAGACTTCCCTTATCAACTAGATTTTACATTTTGGTTGGATGTTTTTTTGTTTGTTTTTAAGACAGTCTTGCTAAGTATTTCAAACTAGCAGCCCTCCTACCTCTGCCTCCAAGGGCTGAGATTACAAGTGTGTACCACTATGCTCAACATGTGAATTCTGAGTTTAAAAAAAAATCCCAAAAGTGTTAAAACAAATAGTACAATAAATACCTTAGTCTGTCTCTGATTTGCAAAAAAAAAAAAAACTTTAGAAAAAACCCTACTGTATAATCTGTCTGACTGTGTTATATTTGTGTGGGAGAGCACTCAAGATTTTACCCAGGCCCTTGCATATGAACTACACCCCTCCTATCCCCCTTTTTTGTGCTGCTATTTAGGCTTGAACTTTGGGTCTGGGTGCTGTCCCTGAGCTTTTATGCTCAATGCTAGCACTCTACCACTTAAGCCACAGCTCCACTTCCTGATTTTTGGTTGTTAACTATAGATAAGTATCTCATAGACTTAAATACCCTGGCTGGCTATTAACCAATATCCTCTTCCTTCTGAGTAGCTAGGATTGCAGGTATGAGCCACTAGTACTCCGCCCCACCCACTTTCATACATATAAAACATAATTAAAAGTGGAAAATTAGCCTTTACCAATACTTTCCTGGTATTTATAAATGTCTTCAGTTAAATAGTGCCAAGAAAGTACACACTACTCATAATTTCATCTATATAAAGGCTCTTTAGTATTCAGTGTATAAACTGAGATCTACACTGAACAAAAATCGGGATGGGGAATTAATTTCCATGGAGCTTTATGAAAGACAGTACACTTCTAAAACATATCTGAACAAGCCCCACGACCAACCAAAAATAAAACATATCTGAAAACAGGTATCTTTTTTTTTGGGGGGGGGTCCGGTCGTGGGGCCTGAACTTTGGGCCTGGGCACTGTCCCTCAGCTCTTTATTAGCTCAAGGCTAGGGCTTTACCACTTGAGTCACAGAGCCAGTTCCGGGTTTTTCCTGTTTTGCTTATGTGGTGCTGAGGAATCGAACCCAGGGCCTAAGGCATGCAAGGCAAGTGCTCTACCACTGAGCCAACTTCCCAGCCCCTGAAAACAGGTATCTTAAGTCTAGGCAATAGGAACACCAGCCCAGAATGGCCACAGCACACTACTTCTGGTTTTCTGATGGTTAACTGAAGATAAGAGTCTCACTGACTTTCCTGCCTCAGCTGGCTTTGAACCGAAATCCTCAGATCTCAGCCTCCTGAGTAGCTAGGATTATAGGTGTGGGCCAGCAGTGCCTGGTGAGAGGAAAACTTTTTAAATGACAAATAAAAGATGAATGTTTACTAACCCAGACACTGAGGACAAACTTCGGAGAACCCATACATAATTTATAAAGTTAAAATTCATACTTATTCTGAGAATTACATCAGATATAATGTTTACAAAGCTCCTAAGACTTACCCTCCAAAGATAGTCTAATCCTATCAACTCCAAATCATCCATCATATAGGCTCTCCTTTTTGCTACTAGTTTTCCTTCTCGACAATTCACAGCTTTGAAGAATCGTTCAAAACATTTCATTCCATTTTCAGTTAATAGGGAAGGATCAAGCTGAAGCACATTACTTTCAAAGAAGTCCTTATTAATATCAGGATCTAAGTCTGGTTCATCCCCCATCAATTTGGAATACCATTTAAAACAGGCTTCACGATCACAAAGGTAAACTGCATTCTCAGCTAAGCATTTCCATATTTGTTTTGCCTGGGGAGCACATAGCCACAGTTGGCCATCCTTCAACAAAAATCTTGGAAAAACAAAAAATTAGCAATTAGATTTACATAACTTATCCTCAAAGGCAATCTATATATGTATGAAATACATTAAAACATATAAATTTTTTGGTACCTGTCCTGGGGCTTGAATTCAAGGCCTGGGCACTGTCCCTGAGCTTTTCTGGCTCAAGGGTAGCACTCTACCACTTGAGTCAAGAGTCCCATGGACTTTTGTGCTGGGCTGGCTTCAAACTGTAATGGTCAGCTCTCAGCTTCCCGAATAGCTAGGATTACAGGCTGAGCCACTAGTACCCACCATTACCCACAAGTAGTCTTAACAATTACATTTTTTTTTTTTGGTCAGTCGTGGGGCTTGAACTCTGGGCCTGAGCACTGTCCCTCAGCTCTTCAGCTCAGGACAAGTGCTCTACCACTTGAGCTACAGCGCCACTTCCAGTTTTCTGGTGGTTTATTGGAGTTAAGAGTTTCATGGACTTTCCTGCCCAGTCTGGCTATGAACTGTGATCCTCAGATCTCAGCCTCCTGAGTAGCTATTATACAGGCTTGAGCCTCTGGCACCAGGCAACAATTACATTTTTAACCACAGATAAAAAGATGGTGTTACTTATTTCAAAAGAACCTATTTCCCAACTTTGATCTGGTATTAAAAATACTGGCTATTAGTTTACTCAAGAACCCTACATGAAGGCGCCAATTTTATATAAACCCTATGGAACTGGCTAGCTGAATTCAAATAGTCTTTGAAACTAGTCATTCTGAAAATATGGTTAATAGGTAGTAATACCTCTAACATACTAATCTAGAAATAAGCAAATAGGACTGATGGATTTGCTTTTTCCAGGCTGGCTTTGAACTACAATCCTCATATCTCAACCTCCTAAGTAGCTAAGATTGATTACAGGTGTGAGACACCCATGCCTATTCAGTTTTTTTTTTTTTTTTTTGGGTCCGGTTGTGGGGCCTGAACTCTGGGCCTGGGCGCTGTCCCTCAGCTCTTCAGCTCAAGGCTAGCGCTCTACCACTTGAGCCACAGCGCCACTTCCGGCTTTTTTCTTTTCGCTTATGTGGTGCTGAGGAATCGAACCCAGGGCCTCGAGCATGCAAGGCAAGCGCTCTACCACTAGCCACCTTCCCAGCCCTTCAGTTTTTTTTAAAGACAAACTTCTTCAAATGAAAAATCCCACTAGGAAATACGGCTTTTTTGGTATGTGGCTTCACTGGAAAATGAGGTATTTAACTGAATGTCTTTCACAGGTAACACATTGAGAGTTATTTAAATTCTGATACTTTCTTTTTTTCTTGTCAGTTTTGGGGCTTGAACTCAGTTTGGGTGCTGTCCCTGAACTCTTTCTATCAAGGCTAGCTCTCTACCACTTTGAGCCTCAGTATCACTTCTGGTTTTCTGGTGGGTTAATTGGAGATAAGAGTCTTAAGGACTTTCCTGCCTGGGGCTGGCTTTGAACCATGATCCTCAGATCTCAGCTTCCTGAGTAGGTGGGATTACAGGCGTAAGTCACTGGCGCCCAGCAATTCTGATACTTTTTAATGATCTATTATTCATCAGTCAGTACCTGACACATTAAATACAATTTCTTATGTATGATTTAGACATTTTATTTTATTTTATTTTTTTTGGGTCCAGTCATGGGGACTGAACTCTGGGCCTGGGCACTGTCCCTCAGCTCTTCAGCTCAAGGCTAGTGCTCTACCACTTGAGCCACATCCCCACTTCCGGCTTTTTTTCTTTGTGCTTATGTGGTGCTGAGGAATCGAACCCAGGGCCTCACCCATGCAAGGCAAGCGCTCTACCACTGAGCCAACTTCCCAGCCCTGATTTAGACATTTTATACCAATCATCAACAGGATGTTTATCAATTATTCAGTGATGTTCTTTAGGGCTTTATTTATTTTGTGGCTGTTGAGTTGTCCATTAAAATCAGACAATTAAGGTGAATTCCACTGTGAGAAAAACTACAGTCTATTTCTTTAGCTTCCAATTTTTTTCTTTTAGCATGCACCATCTACCCTGTCCTGCCATGTCTAAGACAAAGAAAATACCTCAACTTTATTCTGAATAACTTAAAATCTAATTTTTAGCTATCATAATGGTAGCTGCATGTTCAGCTACAGAATAAGGTGCTTGTACTTAATATTAGTAGTTCCCTTTCAACTTCAAAATGTTTTAGGATCTAATGTTTTAGGGAATTTGATATTTTCATAACATTTTGGACCTTAATAAGGGTTAACATTTGGTTCTAACAATCCTGTCCCACCTCTAACCTATTCATCTATAGAGAAGGAAATAGGTCTAGTGAGATAAAATGGAATTGCTTTTCCAAGCTGGCGTTGAACTGCAATCCTCAGATCTCAGCCTGGCTGGGATTACAGGCATAAGATACCCATGTGTGTTCAGTTTTTTTTCTAAAGACAAAAGCAACTGCTTCAAGTGAAAAATTTCATTGGAAATAGGATATATAAAAGCAGAGTTGGTCAGCAAACCAAAGGGATAGAACACATGCAAACATCAGTAACAACAGTTCACTAGGATAGCATTTTTCAATCTAGAGAGGCAGCCCCTTCTATTCAGGTCATTGAAAAACAAACATAAAAACCACTTTAAACAAATGTCACTTTTCTTAAAATCTGCTAGAGAATTTTTCTCAGGTTAAAATCATTATGTAATTTAAAATTTCCCAATTAACAAGCACAGAGTTCAATAAAACATTCATAACTAACAGGGAAAATTCTCTAGAACCTGGTTCAAAATAACAACTGCAATAGGTTTTCCTGCAGCATTAGTAGTCTTGGCAGTTGTTAGCAGGCATGTGACAATAATAAACTCTTGCATATGACATGTTTTGAATTCATAAGATACCTTTCCATCATCAAAAGCACTTTTCAAATATTTTAAAAGGATATTAAAATTAAATATCATTGAGCAAATCCAGCTTTGGACATTTCACTTTGGCTTAATAGAATGAACCTCATCAGAAAAACGGTAATTAATAATATGATTTAGAACTGCCTTTCACAGCCATTGTTAACACAAAGACTATTATATAGGACTCAAGAGAATGATGGAAAAGGTAATATTAATCAAGTTGTACTATACTCCTAAACTGACATGTTGAATTGAAACTCCTTTTACAACTACTACAAAAAAAAGAAAATGACCACCAAGACATAGCTATATAGAATATTCATTCTGTATTCCTTATCTGTGTCTTAAAGAATGCAAGAGTTACATAAAACAAACCTAAGGAAGTTAAGCCGTTCTTGGACTTCTTGAACATGACTGTATCTACTTCCCAGCCTGACAGTTTGTGGGTCATAGTCTTCATGATCTGCAAATTAAGAAAAACCATGCATTACACTCTCAAAATAAATGTAAACACCAGAATCTTATGGCCTTCCATCTCTATTCATCAATTTTTGCTTCATAAAATCTGAAGCAATTATGAAACACACATTTACAGAGTTAAAAGAACTACAATATATGTCAAGACAGACAAAAAACATTTTCTTGCAAATCTAAAAGTGATAGCAGTAAAAATTAATCCTTAAGAAAGTAGCAACCAGGGGGGCTGGGAAGGTGGCTCAGTGGTAGAGTGCTTGCCTTGCATGTATGAGGCCCTAGGTTCAATTCCTCAGCACCACATAAGCAAAAAGAAAAAAAGCCGGAAGTGGCACTGTGGCTCAAGTGGTAGAGCGCTAGCCTTGAGCTGAAGAGCTGAGGGACAGTGCCCAGGCCCAGAGTTCAGGCCCCAC